TCAATCAAAATACTGTTTTAATCTATTTCCTGACATGACTGTACAAAGATACCAAGTAAAAAGGTTACATTAAATACACATTTTAAATTGGAATGCCTCATTCACACAATACATATGTACACAAATTAACGAAGAAAAAAAGAGAACATTGCACAATTTTATCAGCACAACTAATAACAATGAAACGTAACCGGGCGAAGAGGTGATATCATGGTTAAGTATATTGGCATGTAGTAATAAACAAGTATAAAAAATATTACCACAATGGTACTTTCAAATTTGCAATAATTTCATCAGCTTTATCCTTCTCCTTGCCTTTGAAGGAAAAAAGGCAACCTTGCATGTCACAACATTCATTCCTCTCAGTTAAAGCAAAGAGAAAAACCTTTGGGGGGAAAAAAAAGGAGCACGTTTTTTTCTTTAAAGTTAAACCTCGGAAAGGAGAAATACATGCAGCACAGTACACCTCGTAAATGCAAGTCTAGTAATAACAAGAGGAAACTATACAATAAGCCTTGAAAAAGATAATCAAATGAATTCTGATGGTGTTGTTAAGAAATTCCCTAAGTTTTTTTTTGTTGTTTTTTTTTAACAAGTCCTGGGCAGTGCTGAGGTAGCACAAATTCAACGATGAAGGAGAGAAAATTATTGAACCACCAACTGCTAGGAACCCTGAACTATGCTACAAAAACAGTTTTAAAGGAAATGAGATGCACATACACACATACATATATTGTACATAATCTATATCTATTTGTTACAGATCATCAAAGATTCCTGCATGCTTTTTGGACAACAGAGCTTGCAAAAAAAAAAAAAAAAAAAAAAAAAAAAAAAAAAAAAAAAAAAAAAAAGGAATATTCATAATAACTAAAACAACATAAATACCAAAAATAAAGTAAGTTTGGGATCTAATGAAAATAATGATGGGGAAGGAAGTCTCTCTTTATTATTCTCTCTCTCTCTCTCGCTTCAATTATCTTTCGGCAAAAAAGCACATAATCTGATAAATAATATTGTGAATCTCGTCCATAATAAAGGCATTCACTGAATACCTTGAATGACTAACATAGGCTTTCATCAACTCGTCCACTCTCACTTGAAACACGGTACCCAATACACATTTTTTTTTTCTCTCTCTCTCTTTCTTTTTATCTTCTTTTTAAATATCTTTATCATCATTACAACATAAATAACACCTGGCATCCCTCCTGACTCCCCCCCCTTTGGCAGTGAGCCGAGGGACGGATGTGTGCTTGGTCTCTCCTGTGGTTTCGGCATAGGCCTCGTACACTTGGAGGTGAAATCTGCGTCATTTCCGTTTTCCTGTGTCCCTTACTATCCCCCCCACCCCCCCATGCAGGGGCTACCCTCGCCATCCGTGAAAACCTTAAGCTACAGGGATAAGGTGAAGATGGAGGAGGACGACACAAGGGAGGAGGAAAAAGAGGAAGAGGGGGGAAAAAGTAAGAGGAAAAGGAATAGAACTTGGAATAGGAAAAATAACTCTTATGACAATAAGCAATAGTAATAATAATTACAATGAATAACAATAATTCAATAACAACAATAATAATGATAATAAGATAATAACAATAGGAATGATGATAAAAACAATAATAATAAATAAAAATGACACTTTTATCATTACTATTATTATCATCATTACTATTATCATCATAAATAATTAAAAAAATAATAACAATAGCTAGCAATAATAATAATAATAATAATACAAAGAAACAGAGGTGGCAAAAAAGACGAAAAAGAAGAAGAAGGAGGAGGAGAAGAAGGAGATGATCATACAAGCCAAAATATCCCCTCCGTCTCGCATTCCCGCCGTCCAACACGGCAGTTTTTCTCCAGCAATCGCATGGCATCAGTAACTATAAGAGGCAGATGGCAGAGGAATGTGTCAAAAAAATGTTCAAGCACTGCCCTAATTTGAACTCGAAATGAAAATCATCTGTGAGGATATTTCCCATCGACATACACAACCTTGCACACACAGATAAAGAGCTTCTGACGTCTGGCTTATATGGAGGCTTTTTGTCCGTGTTGTCTTTAAAAAAAAACCTCTTGAGAAAACAAAAAGAGGAAAAGGAAGGAGGGAGGGAAAAAAAAAAAGAAAAAAAAAGTGATTACCAGAAAATACTATAACTTTAATAATCAGTAGTCTGATTAATCAACGATAATAAAAGAGAAAAGGAACACTAATAACAATAATAACAAACCAATGCACAGTGTGAGAAAACAAAAGGGCAAGTGATTTTCAGTAGAATGGCTGCTGCTGCTGCTACTGTTAACAGTGAGAGATACAATGCTTCAATGTTAACAATAATATTGACAACATGAATCACCGTCAAAATTAGAAGCAACATTAAAAAAAATATATATATGAAATAAAACAGGACATCTTGTATATTGACAGTAGCAGTAAAAGTAATAGAAAAGATGGTACCAAGAACATAAATGCTAAATGGTTGACAATTTTCCAGAA